AAATACAAAATCAAACATTTCCAGAGTTTGCACACTGCTTGTTCTGGTGATTATTTTCAAAAATTACAAAGTAAAACTATAACAATTTAAAAAAGTATATTCATTAGCAAACACGTGACATATTATCAAAAACACGTATTCAAAAAAAAAAGTTCAATTAAACGTCAAATAACATGCCTAGCAATTAGTTTTGCTCAAAAATTTTAATAATTGTTACAAATTTAAATATGTCTGCTATCATTTTTTTGAATTTAAATCGAAATTTTTTTAGTACTTATTAGTTTTTAATAATTTCTTAATTTTTGTGTACGTAAATAAAATCTTTTGCTAATCAAATTGATTTGGTATATTTTACTAAACATTTACAATCATGTAAAAATACATTACCAAAATCATGACAGTGTGAACAAAGTTTTAATGCAAATAAATCAGTACATTTATTCGCAACAAAATCCCACGTACAACCTAATATATCATCTATGGGTTCACGTTCTTTCGATTGTAATTGAGGTAATTCTGATTCCTTCCCCGAGATCAAAATTGATTGTTGCTGATTAAACCTCTTATCACTATTATCATTACTGCTTTGTTTTAATCTCTCAGAAGACCAAATATTTTCATTATTTGTATTTATTTCTTCAAATGTTGCAAAATGTGGTAAAAATCCATTATCTTGATTTATTGAAGTTTCAACAATATTTTGAGGTATTGGTATTGCTACCGGTGGTTTTGGTTCAATCGGTAACTGCGAATTTGAGATATCGGTATTATCAATACTTTTCCAATTTTGTTGATCATTAGATATTATTGAAGGAATCGAAATCGTAGTAAAAGTAAAAGTATTATATGGTATAGTTGTACGTGGCCCTAAACTTAGTTTTGACTTAAATGGTAATAATGTGAAATCAAGTAATGATTGATACGATATTGAAGTAGGTTGTACTGTAGGCTGTATAGGTTGTATTGTAGATTGCTGAGATTGTAAATTGTCAAATGCTGGGAGACTGTTTGGTGTAATATTTGTTACTGGTGGATAATTATGAACACTAATTGTTGTACGTTCTAATTTTTTCCTCATTTCCTTCTGATTATAAATAATAATAATATTTTCTAACATATCGTTGTCATCATCATTATCATCATCAAC